GGAAGTACTGGAGCTATTCACTGCCAAGAAGGATCCAAAAAGAGGCTAGCAGAAGGGTAGAAGGCAGAAACTTCCACCTTCACAGCATCCAGCAAGCTTAGGGAGGCAGAGGGAAAAGGGAAATAAAGAGATTATGGTCCTCCTCCCTGCTAGTAGCCAGTGTGATTTGAGGGGTCAGTTTCAGAAACATGTTAGCAGGTGACTGTCTGAAAAATGGAGTAACTAAGAGTCCAGGGACAGGATCCTGGTAGGAATCCCACTACTTATGGGGCTGGGGAGTAGGCTGGACTTCTCACTAGGGCATTACCCCTGGGCAGAGGGGCCCATCTTCTTAATTTTAATCCTCTGGCTATTAGGTGCCTAAGAATTTTTTCCTCTTTTTTCAAACCCTGTGCCAGGGGAAGGGTGAAATTGATGGAATAAGTTAGAAAAGAGAAGTGGGGGAGAGGAAGAGACAGAAAATGAGAGATGGATGTGAAGCGCACAATACAAAGAGAGAAAGGAGGAGTATAATGGAGTGGAAGGAGGCAAAAGGAAACTTTAGGACTCCAAAAACAGTGCAGGAAAAGATGCACCATGATCTATTATATTAAAGTAAAAGTGGAATGAAGGAAAGAAAATATACAGAAATAATGAACATAGTAAGTTTTTTTTTTAAACTTACTGAACAAAAGTGAATTGGCAAAGTGTAAACTGAACACAGTACAATATTGTTTTATTTTTTAAATATAAGGATTGGCTTTGGATACATAGGAAGTATCATTACATAAAGAGATATTTCCGTCCTCAAGATATTAAGTGTTGGGTGGATTTTTCAAGCCCTGAATTAAGTGCTTTGATAGGGAAAGCCACAAAGATTTTTGTAATTATATTGTTACTTAGCAATATTTTGATAACCTTCATCGAGATTTCAAAATCTCCATTGAGAAAATAAGTGTTATCTCATAAGTATATGTTGCTGTCCGAAAATATTGATCGTCTAACAGTCATCTGCCAATTCTGATAATTGCTAAATTCGCATAACCTTAATTTAGTCAAGAAGGTTTCTCAATATCTAGATCTGAAATCTACCAATGGCTGAAATTCAAACTGATGCGCATATGTGTTTTCATAAAACAAATGCCATACTACTTCCTCTTTTAATGAAATACAACTTGATTTTTTTTTTTAAACTAGTACATATTTTTGTAATCCAAAGGCAAATTTTAGAATGGCTCAATGACACATCTCTGATCTGGTAAAGAAGATGTGTGTATAACATGGTTGTAGCTATCAAAAAAATAATTTAAACTGTTCTTAAAGCTGTCTCGTCAAGTACCATCTTACGAAATGCCAGAAGTAAGATTGCCCATGAAATCTTAGTTTTGTTCCCTGATGTATATGCACTGATTAATTAAATTAGCTTGGTTTTTTCCCCCCACAGTACTGTTCAGGGCCTGGGATGTTTGCAGTGCAGTTGGTATGTTTACAGTATTAATGAGCAAGCTTCTAGCAAGTTTCACAGCACCTGCACAAATAGCTATTTTCATTTTAATTTTTCTGTATGCAGGTTTCAGCTTCTATACCTACAAATGAATGCCTGGCCATTAAAGGAAGAGGGTACACCATATTAAAACAAATAGGTAGCGGTGGCTCGAGTAAGGTAGGAGATTTTTTTTTTTTTAATCTTTAAGACTAATGGAGCCCATTATTTGTAATCTGCCTACTTCTGTTCAAATATGTAGTTCATGGGTGTCAAACAGATAGGTCATTTGCTAGAGACAACCTGGATGATGTATTAGGTGACCCGCATAACACATTCAGATTCTTCAGAATCTTACTTTTTACTAAGTGAAAGCGTAGTTTCTAGCCCTCATAGCTGCAGGGAACATTCCAAATGTGACCAGAATTTAACCACTGTAATAATGTCTGCCTGAGTCTGCAGACAGCCTGAAACAGTGACAGGTATGTACACCCATGGCCCCAGTTAATCTAATTGCAGTATCAATTTTCAAGCCCAGTGATGACTTGTTAATGTGAACATTAGTGACTTTAATCACTGGTCACTTTTGTGAATGGAATAGGAGTAGTAGGTGGAAGTGAAGCACATTGGGTTGAGACTTGGGAGATGCTAGAGGGAAAGAAATGTGGAGAAAAGACAGGAGATTCTCAGAGATAGGAAAGGGGAAAGGAAATGGAGAGAGGAGGATGGGGAAGAAAGAGAAACAGATAGAAATAGAAGAGGTGCCTCCTTTTTTACTGCGTAGTGACTGTGACAAAGCTCTGAACAAATAATGACTATAGTCAATGGGAGTTGGGCACCTAACTCCCTTAAGTGCCTCTGAAAATTTTAGGCTAGAGTCAACAAACATTTAAAAATAGGATTTGCCCCCCCACCCCCCCCCCCCCCCCCCCAGCTTTATCATGTATAAATGCCTGAGAGGCTGTTTATCTAGTTTTTAGAAGTTAAATTTTCAAAGGCTCCTTAGACATACCGGTGATATCAATTTTTACCTTTCTAAGACATCTGTCTCTGGGAGTTTCTAGCATCCCTTCCACCTGCCAGCAATGGAAACTCTGGTTCAACAATAACTGTTAAGTCTCTCTGATATGTTGTCAAGGCTGAATCCCCACTCTGTCACTCCGAGTCCAGAAGGTAGGGGCCTGCAAGGATTCTAAAAATTAATATGTGCCACTCCAGGCTTGGATCAAACTCCCAAGGTTACAACTTTTCTCTGACCTTGGCTTGGTAAACGCTGCCACCACCCAAATGCAAAAAAACCACTTTGAATCGAGGAAGGAGCACGTGGGAATTCCTCTCTGTGGGGTATCCTCAAGCCCTTTCACCCCCGCTCCGGGAAGAGCTGAGAGAGAAAACAGGAAATTAGCTGTGGCTATCAGCTAATCAAACAACATGCATAAACCTCTTAGGACACCAAAAATCCAATCCTGTTCTTAAAAAGGTAAATTTTATTAAAAACAAAAAGGGAAAAAATACATCTGGAACTTAGGCTTTTGCTAGATTTTAAAAGAGCAATTCCAAAAATCAAGCACCCAAAATAGCTTTCTTGGGGAGTCAGCTTAAAGGTTACAAGCAAACAAAAGCATGTGTGGTTAGCAGAGAGGAGATCCACAAGCCAAAATAAAAGAAATAACCCTAATCGCGTCTTTTTAGACATTCCCTAATTTTACTTGCATATCTGAGGCTCCAGATAAGTAGGTTCGAGATATGAATTGATAATTTATAATCATACCTGGTTTAAAGCTAGGGAAAGTTTCTTTCCCAAGTTTAAAAGTTCTAGCTTTCCCATTGGCTCTTTTGGTCAGGTGCCCACTCCTTTTCTTTTACCTGTGGGCTTGTTAACCCTTTACAGGTAAAGCAAGCAGAGAACAGACATCAAGAGGGATTTTACAGCTAACTCGCTGGCTGGGTGTTCATAAATGGGGGCTACCCCCTCCTTCATTTATCACATATGTAAAGTCATGTGATACCAATAGGTGTTGTGGTACCGAATGATGCTGCAGCACCAATATATGTTGCGGTACCAAGTGGGATAGTGGCACTGAACTGGGTTGTTGTCGCCAGCCAGTGCCACATTCTCCTAGAAAGGAGAAATCCTCAGAGTTCTCCTCCAGATCCTCTAAGAAGAGGAGCTCTAGTTCCCCTTCCAGGGATTCTCTCTCAAAAAGACCTCTGTCTCTGGCCAGATGTATAACCTTGGAGAGGTCTTCCTCAAGGCTTGGTACGATAGCAGCAAGAGGCTCCTTTGGTGCAGGTGAGGTGAGAAAACACCACAGTACTAAAGGTAAACAGGGCTCTGGGAAGAATCTGGTGCTGTTGGCTGGGGCATCAGCAAGCACAGAAGACCGGTACCATTGCACCTGACTCTAGTCTCCGTCATGGTACTGTGTCATGGTCCTGTGTATGCCTCCAGCCTCTTCAGTGCCATCTACAAAGCACCCTAGGCCTCTGGTACAGTCAGAAAAGGACAAACACCCAGTACCACAGCCCCGCTCAATGCCATTATCACACTTGGTACTGCAACATCTATCAATGCTGCAGCAACATTCAGTACCCCAGGATTTTAGGTACCAACAAGACTTAACAGTGACTGCTGAGCCAAAGTCTCTGCTGCTGGCAGTTACCAAGCACCTTTCAGTACTAAGAACCTTTGGTCTCCAGTTCCTTTTACATCCCCAGTACCATCGCCTCCCTTTTCTGTGGGAGCTCCTCCATTAGAAGAAGAGAATGGTGACTATGAACTTCCCTCCACTTCATCTATTTCATTGCAGGATTCTCAGATGCACCCTTACGCTGAAAGGGTAGGGAAGATGTTCTGGGGCCTCATGACTTCTGATGGGAGCAACCCTGGATGCCACTCCCTCACCCGTATGGACCTCTGGCCATATTGGGATCCCTGGCCAGCTTATCCGCCATTTTCTAGGGCCCCGACCCTATCCCAGCAGGATAATAAAGCAATCCAAGCTTCTCCTCTTGAGGAACAGGAGACCAGGGTAGACACAGAAGCCATGCCTCAAACCACAATCTCATCTTCTTTGCCGAATGAGACCCTGATGCCTCTTCCTCCACCATCAATGTTTGATGATTTTCAGCAGTTCCAGGACTTCATTAAGCAGGTGGCAGACTCTCTGCAGATATCCCCTGAGGAGGTCAAAGAATCCCAACACAAGCTGTTGGACATTCTGCACTCTGTGATACCATCTAGAGTTGCCCTCCCTATTAATGAGTCTCTGCTGGAACCATTTAGCAAACCTTGGCTACAATGACACCCACTTGTAAAGGGCTGACAAAAAATATTATGTCCCCATCAAGGACTCTGAATTCCTCTTCTCTCACCCACTTCCCAATTCTCTGGTTATTGACACAGTGAACAAGGAAGGCAAACAACTCAATTAAAAGTCCACTCCCTGCAGCAGAGATTATGAATTATCAAGTGCTGATGGCTAAGTAAAACTTCACCAACTACACAAAGTTTGAATCATTTATTGAACACCTTCCTCCAGATAAAAGGGAACAATTCCAGGCCACGGTTGCTGAGGGACAGTTAGTGGCAAGAAGACTGTTGCAGACAGCTCTCAATATTGCAGACACTACAGCCCGTTTCATTTCCGCGGTTGTGATGGTGCATAGGACTTCCTGGCTACAGTTGTCTGGCTTCCACAAAGAAGTCCAGAATACAGTAGGGGATTTCCCATTTGATGAACTGAAGTTGTTTGCAGAGAACCTTGACAAGTCATTACATACCCTTAAAGATTCCAGGACCACTTTTCGCTCATTAGGCATCTACACTCCTGCAAACAAATGGAAGGTCATCAGATTGCAAACGGCCGAAAGATCCCGCCCTTTGCAATTCTCTGGATTCCAGAGACCCACAGAATTTCCCAGGAAGGAGGCACAGGTTCAAGAGAAAGAGACCCTATACACCCATCTGATGTGGCTTCACAACAGGTGTCGTCATCAAAATGACACTTTTGACGGGACAGTCGAGGGTTCGAATTCCCCTCTCATTAACCTGCCAGCTTCATTGTTTTGCCCACCTTCACCCATTTGGAAACTGACTCTCCCATTTACAGCATGCATGGGAATATATTATCTTGAACAAATGGGTGCTGGAAGCAATATCAGGCTACACCACTGACTTTCCCTCCCTCTGTCCTCCTCGTTCCCCTTTCCTGCCCCTCTTCAGGGACCCCTCTCACAAGTTCCTAGTAAGACAGAAAATAAACACTCTTCTTTGTTTAGGAGCAATAGAACCAGTACCCGCTCAACACAGGGGAAAGGATGTCTATTTGAACTGTTTCCTCGTACCAAAGAAGAGCAGTAAGTGGAGACCAATCTTAGATCTGAGACTCCTAAACACATTCGTGAGATCCACGAAGTTCAGAATGGTGACCCTGGAAGCTATAATTGCGTCTCTAGATTTAAGGGATTGGTTTTCTGCCTTCAACCTCTAGGATATGTAGTGATACACATGCTTCCATATAGTGATACACATACCTCACAAGAGATTCCTCTCATTTGTGGTAGGCCAAGATCTTTTTCAGTATCTGGTGCTCCCCTTCCGCCTCTCCTCGGCTCCAAGAATGTTGTAGAACAGTGTTTCTCAACCTTTTTGATACCGGGGACTGGCTTGCTGTCATCCTCAACTGTCATGGACTGCTTGAGAGGGGGAAAAAATGAACAGTGTTTCACTGGTATTTCTTGCTCTTTTTTCAATATTGCCAGGCCTTTCTTTTTTTGTACTATCTGCATGTAAAGCATTTTTCTTTCTTTCTTACCAACACAGGGCCAATACTCCAGTTCTGTTTGTTTGTTAAAATAAAGTCGAGTTCAATCAGTTATGTGGTATGAAAATGAAGGGTACCAATAATTTTGTCTACAATTGTATACCTCATTTTATACAGATAATTCAATTGATTCAGTTTTAAAACAATAATAAAAAAAAATCAGATGGATTCACTCACCATACTGTTAATGAGATGCTTGTGCCTGTCTTGGAGACACAAGTCTTTCAATCCTGGGATGAATGTTTGACAAGGACACTCGGAGCATCTCTTCAATGCTCAGCTGATTGCGGTTTTTTGTTTTCATTGCAGTCATTGCTGAAAATCCAATTTCACAGAGGTATGTGGAATGGAACAGGAGCAAAGTTTTGACAACGAGTTCAATGAGTTGTGGTTATTCACTTCTGACTGTGATCCAGAAAACAGGTAGAGTAACTTCATGAAACTGTAACTTCAGACCTTCATCACTTGACAGTTCCAGCAACTTGTCTTCCAATGATGATAGAGAGGTCTCAGTTTCTAGAGAGGAGAATTGCTCATGAACCCATTGCTTTCCTTTCGTTGGATCAGAATATGATAGGAAATAGTCCTCGAACTTTTGGAGAACTGATTTTAGAAGTGATACCATTATTTCACAGAGGAGAAGCAGATCCACCTCTTTACTGTCATCAAGAGCCAGAAATGCAAAAGATGCGAACATGTCATAACAGTCGTGCCTGACTCTCTCTTTCCAGACTTGAAGCTTAATTTTTTAAAGGTCATGATCTTGGCAGCCAATACAAAGACACTCGATATACTTCCCCGCATAGAGAGATTGAGCTGATTAAAGTGATCAAATATATCTGCCAAATATGCAAGTTTGGTGAGCCATTGTAAATCCTGAAAGTATGCTGTCAGAGGAGACTTCTTTTGAGACAGAAAGGCTTGAAGTTCACGTTGCAGTTCATACACTCGGATAAATATTTTGCCATGGGATAACCACCACACTTCAGCGAATAATAAGTGATGGTATTTGAACTCCATTTCTTCACACATTGTAGCAAAGATGCGAGAACTAGTCAATTTGCTTTCACAAAATTCACAATTTTAACAACTATACCGAGGACATCATTAAGCTCTGGAGACCATTTCTTGACTGCCAAGACCTTGACGAATAAAGCAGTGTGTTGCTTGAGCAACTGGTGCAACTTCCATCACTCTTGCTACTACCCCTGAATGTCTGTCTATCATTGTGGCTGCTCCATCTGTGCAAATTCCAACATAGTGGCCCCACTCAAGTCTGTGTCCTGTCACATACACGTTTAGGACCCAGAACCTTTCTGCACCTCTTGTGTTTTGTGGCAGTTCTTCACAGCAGGGTTCTTCACATGAAACGTGCCTTCATAGGCATAACGCACATAAACAATAAGAAATGCTGCATTAGAAATGTCCATTGACTTCTCCAACTGAATTGCAAACCAGCTTGACTCTTGCACCCTTTCTATCAACTGAGCTTTGATATATTCTGCAATATCAGTGATTTGATGTGAGACATTATCATTTGACAGTGGAATTCAACTTGCTTTTTTGGCAGCTGCATCACCCAAGACTTTGTGACAGACATCAATTATTGAATGCACGATTAGCTCTTCACCACCTGTAAATGGTGACTTGCATTTAGCTATGTGTAGGGACAGCAGATACGATGTTTTTAACAAATCTTTATCTAACATTACTGCGTGTGCAATACTATCTTTTGCCCCTTTACTTCCTCTTGTTTCCATTGGAAGAATTCCACTGGCTTTTCTTTTACATTTGAATGTTTGGGGTTTTTTGAGTGCTTCCTCATGTCCATTCCATTGTAGGTGCGTGTGCTCGCCACATGCACTGGTGCTGGAAGTTTTTCCCTCAGCAGTATCCGTAGGGGACCATCTCTGGTACCCTCTCGAGTGGCGCCTGTATGGCACGGTATAAGGGATGCCACATGCTCCCGCTACCGTCAGTTCCTTATTACCGCCAGTGACGGTGCTGGAACATCCTCTTGCTTCGGCAAGCTTCCTCTTTCTCAGTCCGTTGATACGAACTTTTCCCTGTAAATAGTAAAAGTTATTAGTTTCCCTTAGTGTAGGTAGGTAGTTCGTCCCAGACAGGACTTAGCCTAGAGATGGAGCATGCCCTGATTCCCAGGCTTCAAACCCTGCAATCACTCTAAAGAAAACTATGCCCATCAGCAATCCTCATAGTAGCTGTCCGAGATGCCTGGGCAAGTCCCATATCAGTGACATCCACCTTGAGGCATCGCAGCTCCCCGGCGTCTAGAATGCGCTGGCAGATTGCCCCAGCAGGTCCTTCTTCCTCTCTCCTCAAGAGTGGTCCCTCCATCCAGAGGTCGTCCAGGTACTCTTCTGATGATGGGGAGCTCCCCGAGTGGACCTGATTGCCACGAGACAGAACAGGAAGTGCCAGCAATTCTGCTCTCTCCAGGGCTTAGGCAAGAACTCCATCTCCGATGCCTTCCTTCTGTCATGGGAAGGAGATCTAATGTACGCATTCCTGCTGATTCCACTGGTCAGCAGGGTCCTAGCAAAGGTCAAAAGAGACAAGGCGAGAGTCATCATGATTGCCCCAGCGTGGCCTCACCAGCACTGGTTCGGCACGCTCATGGACCCTCACAAGACCACGGTCAGCTCCTGCACCCGCCTTCCCTCCCTCCACCTCATGGCTTGGTTGCTGAGTGGCTGAACCCGGAGGAAAGAGCCTGCTCCACCCAGGTACAACAGGTCCTCTTGGAAAGCAGAAAGCCCTCCACCAGAGCGACTTACCTGGCAAAGTGGAGGCAGCTCTCCTGGTGGGCGGAGGAGCATGGCATTTCCCTGACATGGTCACCTGTGCATCCATCCTTGATTACCTGCTCTACCTTAAGAAGCAAGGCCTTGCACTTGCCTTCATCAAGGTGCACCTGGCAGACACATTGTGGTTTTCCACTCACAGGTCCAGGGAAAATCCGTGTTCTCACATGACATGTCTGTCCGGTTCCTGAAAAGACTAGAGCCAGCTCTTCTCCCTTGTTCGGGACCCGATTCTGCAATGGGACCTCAACTTTGTCCTCTTGAGGCTCACGGGGCCTCCCTTTGAGCCACTGGCCTCCTGCTCCTCATCACATCTGTCATGGAAGGTAGCTTTTCTTGTAGCCATTACCTCAGTGAGACGAGTCTCTGAGATTAAAGCCCTCACTTCGGAGCCCCCGTACACGGTTTTCTGCAATGACAAGGTCCAGCTGCGACCCCACCCAGTGTTTTGGATTAAGATGGTGTCTCACTTTCGTATTAACCAGGATATCTTTCTCTGGGTTCTCTGTCCAAAGCCGCACTCAACTGCGGAGGAGAGGCGGCTGCACACCTTGGATGTCCAGCACACCCTGGCCTTCTACTTGGAGCGCACCAAGGCCTTCCGCAAGTAGACCCAACTCTTTATTGTGACAGCAGACAGGATGAAAGGCTTATCAGTGTCCTTGCAGAGGATCTCTAACTGAATCACATCGTGCATCCGAACCTGTTATGAGTTGGCATGGACCAAACCACGACCTATAATAAAGGCCCACTCGACCAGGGCACAAGCATCCTTGGCGGCCTTCCTAGTACATGTCCGCATCCAGGACATCTGCAGAACCTCTATGTGGTCATCAGTACACACGTTCATGACACATTATGCCATTACGAAGCAGGACATAGATGACGCTGGATTCGGCAGAGCTGTGTTGCAATCGACACATCCATGAACTCTGACCTGCCTCCGGTGGCACTGCTTGGGAGTCACCTACAATGGAATGGACATGAGCAAGCACTCGAAGAAAAGACCTTTACTTGTTTCGTAACTGGTGTTCTTCGGGATGTGTTGCTCATGTCCATTCCATGACCCACCCTCCTTCCCCACTATCGGAGTTTTCGGCAAGAAGGAACTGAGGGTGGGGGGAGCCGGCAGTGCCCCTTATACTGCACCATACGGGCACCACTCCACAGGGTGCCAGAGTCTGCCCCTACGGATACCTCCAAGGGAAAAACTTCCGGCACCAGTGCATGTTGTGAGCACACACACCTACAGTGAGCAACACATCTTGAACACTAGTTACGAAACAGGTAACTGTCTTTTTCAATGTGTCAAATCATTTTTGAAGGTTTCATAGCATCATTTGTTTAGAGTTGTGCCACACACAACACAGAGTTTTCAGCTATTCTACATCCTCACTTGCAACAAATCCATACTCATGTAAGACGAATCACATTTTTGACTGAAGGCCGAACGTTTCCCTTTCTTTTCTCACCCTTCTTCCTTGTCATGTTTGGAGTCACTCGCATCTCTATTTTTCTGAACTTTTGTTAGTCCCAAAAAATCAATCCAGAGGAAACTTCTTTGACAATGACATTGTCTGGTTTAGCTAAGTAAGTTTTTTACTAGAACTTAACTTTCACTCACTGCTAACTACTTCCTTCCAACAAATGCATGCAAATGTGCTTTGCATATCAGCACGATGGCAACGTAGTCGGTTTGTTTATGTTCAGAAATAATTGAATATAGTGATGTGAAATGCAAGCACAAAAAAACCTTTACATTTTACATATTAATATTCTGTGTTGGGAAAATCTCAGGAACTGGCAAGGAGGCTGCCACTAACCGGTGCCTGTCCCCGGATCGGTCATTGAGAAACACTGTTCTAGAAGGTCCTGTAGGTAGTGGCTGCTTACCTGCGTCGTTGGGCTATTGTGGTATTCCTCCTGTAGGTAGTTGGCTACTCGGGTCAATCCTACCAAAAGGTGTTATCCGCCACAAGATCAACACTTTCTCTGTCTTTGGAACTGGGCCTTCAGCTGAACATAAAAAAAATCCATACTAACTCCTGTTCAGAATGTACAATTCATAGAGGCCTTCTTGGATTCCCTGACATCCAGGGCATCTTTCACCATGGACTGGTTCTGGGTATTATCAAGACTTATCAAAAATGATTCAGGACAGCTCTGACCTCAGTCAAAAACTGCCTTCAGCTTCTGGATCACATAGCAGCTTGCACTGTTGTAACAGAGCATGCCAGGTTACACCTCCACTGTTTCCAGGAGTGGCTCAGAACAGTTTACTCTCCAAACAGATACAGTCTAGACAAGCAAGTCTGTTCCCCAGCAGGTACAACATTCCCAAGACTGGTGGAAGATTAAGCATAATGCAGGGGCAGAGGTCCCCTTCTTCCAACCATGCCAACAGTAACCATGACCACGCATGCCTTTCTGTTAGAATGGGGGGTGCAACTCGGTGCTCTGACAGCACAAAGCAGGTGCTCACCCCAGGAGACCACCCTCCATATCCGCTTTCTAGAGCTCAGAGTGGTCAAAAATGCAGGTCTTCATTTCCTTCTTTTCATGAGACCCAGATCCATCAGTCATGACAGACAGCATGGCTTTCATGTTTTATATCAGTTGCCAAAGAAGGGCAAGATCCCATTTCCTCAGTGCTGAGGCAATAAAATTGTGGAATTGGTTCATAAAGTATCACATAAGGATACGAAGAAGTGGGCTGTAGTCCACGAAAGCTTATGCTCTAATAAATTTGTTAGTCTCTAAGCAACAGAGGGTCCTGTGGCACCTTTGAGACTATCTGAAGTACTGGGAGCATAAGCTTTCGTGGGTAAGAACCTCACTTCTTCAGATGCAAGAAGAACCTCACTTCTTCAGATGCAAGAAGAACCTCACTTCTTCAGATGCATCTGAAGAAGTGAGGTTCTTACCCACGAAAGCGTATGCTCCCAGTACTTCAGTTAGTCTCAAAGGTGCCACAGGACCCTCTGTTGCTTTTTACAGATTCAGACTAACACGGCTACCCCTCTGATACTTAGTCTCTAAGGTGCCACAAGTACTCCTGTTCTTTTTATAAGGATCTGAGTGTATCTACCTGGCATACAGAATGTTACAACCAACAAACTCAGCATGTGCTTCTCCTAAGACTGATTGGGATTTCGATCCCCAGGTTCTGGTCAGAATCTTTTGGAGTTCAGTGTTTCCAGAAGTAGACCTACAAACAAAAAATGCTATTTTACTCAAGGGGAGAGAGGGGGATTAGCTTGCAATTCCCTGGGGGATGCCTTCCTCCAGCCTTGGATGAAGATAAAAAAGATTAAATAGGACAACTCCAGTATCATTCTAATTACCCTGATGTGGTTAAGGGAAGTATGATTCCCTTATATGTTGCATCTAGCTCTTTTTCCTCTGACAGATCTCCCAATCGTTCCTTAGCTCCTCTCCCAGGATGCCTGTAGTCTGACACATCCCAACTTTGGCATTCTTCACCTCCAAGAGCTGGTACCTCAATGGTTTGTGGAGCTAGAGTCATCTTGCTCTGCTATTCTATTAAATAGTAGAAAAATTTCCACCAGAACTATTTACCTTCCAAAAGTGGACAAGATTTGGCCACCGGTGTGAACTCCACAATGCTGATCCAGAATCTGCCCTGCTTCCGCTTGTCCTGGAGTACCTGCTACAGCTTAAGAAATCAGGACCGTCCCTTAATTCCATCAAGGTTTATCTGGCAGCCCTAACAGCCTTTCATACTACTATCAAGGGGCTTTCTTTATTTGCTCACCCCATAACCACAAGGTTCATGAAAGGCCTGGGGAATCTCTTCCCAGTGATAAAAGTTTCTGCTCCTATCTGGGATCTGAACTTGGGTCTCAAAAGCCTCACAACCCCCCACCCCCTTGAATCAATGGCCACCTGCTCCTTCCTGAATTTATCTAGGAAAACAGCCTTTCTAGTGGCATCTTAATGGCAGATCCCCACCCCCCCCACCCCCCCTTCACAATGTTCTACAAGAATAAGGTGTTCTTACAACCCAGGTTTCTTCCGAAAGCGACTTCCGAATTGCAACTGAATCAGATCATATACCTGCAAGTTTTCTTTCCAAAATCGCATACTTCCAACCTGGAGATTGTTCTCCATACTCTAGATGTCAGGAAGGTATTATCCTTCTATCTGAATAGAGCTAAACCATTTTGTAAATCCAATAGACTGTTTCAGTTGCAGGCAGATCAAAGGACCCTGAGCTCAATCCACCAAATCAGGGATTGGCAACCTTTGGCATGCAGCCCATCACCCCCGCGCTGCTTCCCGCAGCCCCCATTGGCCTGGAGCGGCGAACCGTGGTCAGTGGGAGCCACAATTGGCCAAATCTGCGGACGTGGCAGGTAAACAAACCGGCCCGGGCCGGCCCTGACGGGCCGTGGGCCGAAGGTTGCCGATCCCTGCACCAGATCATGTAGTGTCTTATGCTGAATAGATGTGTAAATATTCCAAAACTGGCTTTCCTATCATACCTGGGAAGGTACTTAACCTAAATCTTATTCAGCCCTCTTCATAATGTTTCATTATTCGCAGACAGTTACTGCTCAACAGGATATGTGAATCAACTTTTTTTAAGCTGAAACCTCTGCATGAATTTAAACAAATTAGTTGTCTGGTGGACCTGAGAAGTTGGCATCCCTCCCACCCCAGAATTTGTATTTAACCTTGGAATTTGAACATGCATGCACACTCATGTTGTAATTACCACACCCAGGTGTTCTCAGTAGGTTTCTTCCCTATAAGAGTGCTAAAGGGGAAATGCAGGGATGTTATCTTAAAAACAAATTGACAAAAAAACCTTGCTGATGTTTTTGGATGCCAGTAAAGAAACAATTTCTACACAAAAAATCCTATACAGTATCCAGATTACATATAATCTTAACAATTGTGATTTCAAAGCAGTTTTGGATTTGATTTATGTTTACAGCCCTTCCTGTCAACTTTTTTTTTTTTAACATAATTTTTTCTATACTTTTTTAATTGGCAGGCAGTTTTAGTTTTGTGTTTAGATATCCATAGGCTCACTCTCAAGAGACAGGAGCCAAACTGGAGAGGAGGCAGCAGTGTTGATATTGGCAGTTGACAAGGGCCCACAGAGGAAAAACTGGGACTTGAAGTGTTGGTGGAGATGGAAATTTGGTTTTGAACTTGCATAGGCTACAGTTTTATTCCAGGGACTGGGACCTGGAAACTTGGATAAGTTGGGAGGAATATATGAGGAGAAAGCAACAGAGGTGGTTATGGTAGACATGAAATGGGAAACGCAGCAGGAAGTCAGAAACTGCTATTCTCTCTGGAAGGTGTTAAACTTCATACAAAATAATTAGGCAGTAACTTTGTCACCGTTCTCTGTCCAATGGTCATTTGAATTTATTTACTGAGAGTGTCTGTTGACTATCTGATGTCTCTTCAGTGATCCTAGTTCAGCTCTTGGTGGGTTGTCATAGAATCATAGAGGATATGGGTTGGAAGAGACCTCAAGAGGTCATCTCGTACAACTAGCTCAAAGCAGGACCAACCCCAACTAAGTCCACATCTTTCAGTTTTAAGTGTGCAAGTGGGTTCACTTGAGAGCCCAAGAACTGTAGAATCTGAACTACCTTCTGAATCCCTTGAGGTTGTTCTTCTAAGTAAAGTATTGTAGGGCCAAATAGGGAAACTTGTAGTATTTCCTCTGTAAACTAAAATGAAATGTTATTGTTTTCTTCCCAAACAAATGCTGTTTGCCCATTTCTAGATGTGGTGATGAAACACACCACAAAGTGAAGGAACACTGGGAATGCATAAAGAGGGCACTTTGGTTTCTCTGCTGTTTTGCAGGTGTTTCAGGTATTGAATGAAAAGAAGCAGCTGTATGCTGTCAAATATGTGAATCTTGAAGAAGCAGATCAACTGACTGTTGAGAGTTATAAGAATGAAATTGCTCATTTGAATAAGCTACAGCAACATAGTGATAAGATCATCCGACTTTATGATTAGTGAGTAAACATTTTAAAATGAGTTAAGTTTTCAAAATATTCCTCAAAGCAGTTACTCTCTAAAATTTAATTTCAGTATGATGATAGCACTTATTATTTATTTTAGTGAAATCACTGAACAGCATATCTACATGGTAATGGAATGTGGAAATATTGATCTCAATAGTTGGCTTAAAAAGAAAAAGACTATTAATCCATGGGAACGAAAGAGCTACTGGAAAAATATGTTGGAAGCCGTTCACACAATCCACGAACATGGTATTGCTAAATATTTCTAGATATTAATGTATTACGTGTCGTAGAGATCAAATGGATTTTACAGAGTTTGGAGGGGTAGCCGCTCTCTGTGCTGGTACAAGCTGGGAGCCTTTTTGGATGGGTGGCTTTATAGCAGAGTCTTTGAGTTTTTGTTGTATATTTCAGAGCAATTCTGATATAGTCCAGAGGCCATATATCCGTCCGGAAATGAAGTACCACAGTAGTACTTTCCTCCATGTCTTCTTGACTAAAACACTTGCAAAATAGTGTCAACACTCTGTTCAGTGGTAACCAGGACACAGATATAAGGCTTGGAGTAGAAGCAGACTTAGTCTTTTTTCTTTGTTTATATGGTGTTCATGCCTTTTAGTTAACTCTCAATTTGACTGCTGTGACATATTCCCTTATTTCTGATGTAACGCCCTTTTTTTCCCTTGCAAGAGGGGGGGGGAAAAATTCTTACCCACCGACTGGATCACATCATTCCTCCCTGTATCTCTTGCTGATATTTTATATCAGATTCAAGCTGTTTGTCCTCTCCTTTTAAGGCTTTATTTAACTCTATGCTTTCTTCTGTTCTTTGTTTTCCTCTCATATTCTCACCCTGTCTCCTTAAATCTGATAACTAACATTGCTTCAGTTTCCTTTTCTCACTACCGTCTCTATGCTGCTTTCCTTGCTGACCCATATGCCCGATATGCCCCCTGTCTGTGTGCACCAGACTGAAAGGACAAGATAGG